CCGCTCCTAACCGCGCTTTATACGGTCCGCTCCTAACCGCGCTTTTCAGCCGCTTATGGAGAAAACAAATATGGGGGAAATCAGAAAATGGAGAAATGGGCTGAACATTGAGAGAATTAACACGTCGGAAGTTTCATAATTCGCCTCATTAAAGTAACGTTACTTCGGCTTTGTGCTGGTCACGTTCTCAACCGTCAGTTTAGCGTTACGTTAGCTGCGTTTAATATGACTTTAGCAGTTAGAGCTGCTCTAGCGTTAAACCAGTGTAATGAACAATAACTGAGGAAAACCGCACAAATATAGCGTTAGGATCAAAAACCTACAGTATTATTCTACATGAATTAAAGCGGACGCTAAACACGAGAAAGCGCCTGTTACCTCAGAGTCGGAACCTGTGGGTTATCTTAAGCTCGGCATCAGTCTGAAGAAAGACTCACCTCAGAATCAGTTAGTGGCCAGCTTCGGCAGACGTGCAGTTATCGATCACTATCGCTCGCGGTGTGAAGTTATCGATCTGTTACTGACTGGTTACCGCTCAAAGTACAGCAGGCGGGATTCTGGAAGATGATTGGCTGTCGCCTCGGGGGGTCTGAACAGTGATTGGCTCAGGTCCGAACAGAGTGAAGTCTGATTGGATGAATCCCGCAATGGCGAAACGAACAGCAGCTGCTTAATTAATTAATTAATTCTGTACGGTGTTGAATGTTGACGAAGTCTCTCCACTTTTCCTAGTGTTTCGTATTGTTTTATGACCTATATTAATCTAAACGGTAATTAAAAATACATTGTTGAACTGTGTTGTTCATGTGGGATCTTCTTCTGCACCCACATTAAACATTAACAGATATAACTTTAATCTAATACAGTAAATGTCGAAATTAATATATGCTTTAGAGTTGCTTTTCAGGGTTAGCTTATGCCAAATCTAGTTAGCTAAAGTTAAAAAAAGAAAAGAAAATGAAACCGTATTGTAAACAGTGATGAGCAGTAGCTAGTGTAACTAAATACTAATAAGATTTCAGTAATAATATTAGTTAGCATGCATAGAACAGCTCGTGTGACCCCTGCTGACCTGACCTGACCTCCAGCACTGCAGTAACTGCTAGCTTCATCTGCACAGCTCTCAGGACTCATGCGCTCAGCACTGGCTTAGTCTGAGTTACTCTACTCTGGCATTACACCATCATCCCTCTGATGCATACTCAGTATATTACTGTAATTAAACATCTTATGAACTTGTGTGATTTCTTCGGATAAAATACTTCGTGAAATATAACCCTATATGAGTAAGAGAGAAGTTATAGCTACAGGTAGCTTCCACACTTCTACTGAACAGTGTTTAATCACTTCTGACTGATGCGTGTGGAATATCTCGTTAGTGACCGTTTAGAAGAATTGTTTGGAGAAACTAATGTCACTAGTGTAACTAATCACTGTTGCCAGAGAGTAATAAGTAATATTGTTACTTTTGAAAGGAGTAACTAGTAACGAGTAATAAATGACACTTTTGGAGTAACGAGCCCAACACCGACTGTAACACATCCAGACACACTTTTACTTCAGTGTGTCAAAGTCCCAAGATCCCAAAGCCACAGATCCGGATCCCTGAGCGAGAGCTTTTCAGTGTAATATAGTTTAACAATTAACACAAATAGTATGCAACTTCATACCATTTCACTCCGTCCAGAGTTTGCAGTGAGGTTTCGAGACTCAGCTCTCATCATGTGCTCCAGACACATCAGCATCTCATGGAGCCCTCTGTGTGTGTGTGTGTGTGTGTGTGTGTGTGTGTGTGTACAGTTAAACGCCTTAGGGTTTGATTAATCCTTTCCTCCCTCTCTTATACACTTTAAATCACCTCAACCAGGGAATTTCACTCTCAGTGAGCCCTGTGTGTCTGGGGTATGTGTGTGAATGGGGGTTGAGAAAAAAAGGAAGAAATCATCACTAAAATAAAAAGGATCAGCACAAATTGACTCTGACACATTAGACCTGCCTTGCATCAGGCTCAAGAGAGGAGGGAGGAGATGTAGAGACAGGAGAGAGTGCGAGAGAAATTCGATGAGGCAGCGGTGTCTTGCTTTTTAATTGGTTTTATAGCGTGTTTTGGCACCATTGCCACCATGTTTTAGTCAAATTAGTCTTTCCTGATTAGTCATCTGTGTCTGCTGACGTACAGAGTGAGGAGGGAGGGGGAAGGAAAAAATCTGACTAGAGCTCACAGCGGGGACCACACTGGGTCTCGGAGCTATCGCAGATATTATAGGTTATCTGCTCTGCCTGGTTGGTGTTTTACTTTCTTAATACAAGACAGAATAATGGGCTGAGCAATTGTCCCTCTAGCAGTCTTTTTAATGCACACTTGAACTTGGCATGAAACCTACAGCAGTAGCCCATTTCTTCAGCTTTCTTCTTCTGCTCGGCCTCATAACCCCAGCAGAGCAGGTCCAGCAGCTGAAGGCGTGTTTGGGACTCCTCCTCAGGATGAACAGAGAGGCGATAAAAGGCTCAGGAATGTGTCGCGTCTGCAGAACAGTTTTATTAGCAGCTTTTAAAGGTTCAGATGGGCGGAAAACATCTGTTTTTAACTAAACCGACAATAATCCGGCGACAGCCGCTCACACGCGACCGGACTAATGAAAGCCGTCTGTCTGAGCGTGTTACACGAGAAACGATCGGTGTTTTTCTTCAGTTTAGTGAGAAACGCACCCTGCAGCAGCTCGCGGTCTGACGCTCCAGCAGCAGTGGGCGGGGCTTTCCACGGATCTGACCAATAGCGGGGCTGAGCTCGAGTGATTGACAGCAGGCCGGCGCAGCGCTAGTATAAGAGCAGCTGTGTGCGCCGGCGACGGGACAGACGCACCGCGGGAGAGGTGAGTGGAAGCTCTCTCACTCTTAATGCTTACGCTGCTCCAGTAACATTTACACAGAGATGTAGCCTACAGCTGAATGCGCTTTTCAGCACTGTGCTCCTTGTTCCGCTGAGTATGCTGAGCTTCATCATCTGTGTGCAGGTCAGAGGTCATGATGTCTGCGCTCCTGCTGCTGCTGCTGCTGCTGCTGCCATGTGAGCTTTCATTGCTTTCTTTCATGTGTAGCAGTATAAGCAACTGTGTCCATATTTCTGTATAATTTGTCACTTATCTTGAAGGTAAATTGTGCAAAAATGTTTTACTTAAGGTCAGCTCGAGGCGAAATCCCTGATGAATGTCCTCCAACAGGAAGGTGAACATGTCTGTACTTGCTGAAAAGATCTAATATTAGCTTATATGTCTTTAAATGAAGAAAAGTCCCCTGGGTTGTGTGTGTGTGTGTGTGTGTGTGTGTTAGATGGTGCTTCAGTCGGGATCGACTCCAACAAGGCGAATGAATTCCTGTCCAGTTCTCGCCCGAGACGCAGTGTCGATGCACGCTGGCACAGGCAAAGTCCAGATTTCCAGGCGTATTACAGATACTACAGCAGCATCGGACACACGGAGGGCGTAAGAGGACGGCAGACCCTCACAGATCACTTGCAGCCCTCATCTGGTGTATATGGTATATGCTGACCCGGCTCTCTTCTCTCCCGCAGCTGTATGAGATCGACAGGATCCGCATGCTGTACCAGCAGATGAGGCACCTGGAGCAGGTCTACGGCCCCAACGCCTCGTACTACCAGAGCAAACTGGGGGTTCCGCTTCTGCCTCCGCTTCCCAAATGTGACCCAGCCAAAGACAAGAGCTGCAAGCCCGCTCCGCCCCCAGCTGCTGTCAAAGCCCCCGTGACTCCGCCCATCGCTCAGGCTGATGTCGTCTATCTGTGCAACAGCAAAGACCCCCAGTGCAGGCCGCACATCGTGTACATGCCGAGCGGAGCCGTGCCGGTGCTGTGTGACCCGCGCTATCACCCCACCTGCAAGCTGGAAGGCCCCGCCCCCTCGCCCGTCCCCTCCAAGAAATACGATCTGGCCCCTCCACCAGCCCCCATCGTCTTCAAGGGAATGGAGTACGACTGCGACCCTTACTGGGACCCCGACTGCCTGATCGATCAGCCCCCGCGGCCCGTGAAGGGTAAAGCCCTGCCGCCGGTGCCGGTGCCGGAGGATGACGAACCAGAACCAGAACCGGAGTCGCCGAAACTCCCACACATGTATTACGGCCGCCTTTATCCCTACAACTACCGCTCCGAGCTCTACGACCCGCTCCGACACGCCTAGAGTCACTCACTTCACTGCTTCTTTCATTGTGATTGATGTTCAGAAAGCTGAATAAAGTATGGAGTAATTTTCCCTGCTGTGTTTGTCCTGAATCCTGAGATTGTATTACTGTAGGGAGATGAGAGGGTCTGTATTACTTACGGCTAACTGTGATCACGTGTGCGTTAATATCCAATCACATTACAGACTTAACGTCATACGGTATGAAGACGACAGAAGGGAGTTAGAAACACAAGTTGGAAAACAAAACATGACAGTGGGAAATCTGCTAGCAAAAACAATGTCTAGGGAAATACACAGTCTCCTAATGAATTATTTGAAAAATACTGGGATAAGTGAAAGAATTTAATAGAAATATATGGGGGGGGGGTATATATACTTTTTTAAAATTTTATTTTATCTCTCCTTGTCCTTTCTTTCAAAGTACTGCCCACACTCCAGTCCAGTAGGTGGCGGTAAAGGCACCTTTAAGATGGTTTGCCAGCCACCAATAATATTTAAAGAAGAAGAAGCCTTAATGTTAGGGATGGGCGATACCACTTATTTTGTTTTCGATATACCAATATTTTTCAAGGCAGTATCGTCGATATCGATTCGATACTTCTGAACTAAACTTTTCAATTATTAAATTACTACGAGTAATATGGGTAATGATAAGCAATTAACTATTCAATATGCCTTAATTGTAACTTATTAGGTTATATTTTTGTTTACACATGATTAAAATCTACAAATACTACAGTTGAACTACGGTCACTTTAGTAAAAGCATGGTTCTTTATCATCAGGGACTGCCAGTGACCGGCTGTTGCACGCATAAAATGCAACCTTTTTATTCTGACAGTGTATGATTTTTATTAACATTACAGAATAGAACATGATCAATATTATCTTTCAACATTCAATTTAAATAACTGGAATTGCACAAACTATGTAGGCTACAATTTCAGTTTGTTTACTGTGCAATAAGTCTGTGCTTCTGTCCTCTGATAAGCATTGTTCAGGGCTGCCGTTCCCAAAAGCTTTAATGCTTTCTTATGATGCTTTTGGGAACCGCAGCCCTGGATGCGCTGTCAGCAGTGAGTGAACGCTCTGTGATGGATCGGTTCAGATGAGCAGGAAGATAGTTCTATCCTACACAATTACTCGCTAACAAAGGTTATTCGTCAAGTTCAATGCATATTGTACGCATTTTTTTAGTTTTTGTTGAATTAACAAAATCACTGGTAAATAAAATGCACCTTAGTATCGATATTTTTTGTTTGAGTATCGATACTTTGGATACTCACGTCAGTATCGATACTTTGGATCGATACGCCCATCCATCCCTACTTGACCTCATTGCATTTCAGAGTTGTGCGACACTCAGTCGTTCACGGATCTCGTAGGAATGAATGAGAAGTGCCTTAAACTGAATCCCACCTGTTGCAAAAATCTGTGACTTTTCTTTTAAAACGGCATTTTTTAAAAATAGTTTAATCAAAAAGTATTGTTTAGTGTAAAACATGTTGGAGATTAGCAGATAGGCTGTCGATTCATTAAATGATGAGCTGTTTCCTTTAAACAGCTGTTTATTCAGCGTAGTGAAGCCTGACCTGCACTGACACCCATTCACACACAGCAGCTTCCGGTCTGCTTTGCATTAGCATTAGCCGCTACGCTTGCTTTGCTCTGCTGGGGCTGCAGGAAGCAGACGCTCGTGAAGGCTATTAAACCAGCAGGTTAGAGCTTCATTAGCTGTTAACGTTCTGCAGCGTTAGCATGACACACACACACTATCTCAAACTCACACACACACACACACACACTCATACTCTCTCTCTCTCACACACACACACACACACACTCATACTCTCTCTCTCTCACACACACACACTCATACTCTCTCTCTCTCACACACACACACTCATACTCTCTCTCTCACACACACACACACACAC